CCCCCCCGCACAGCTGCTTGGCTGTGCTGTGGGGTGACCTCGCCCCACCCCTGCACACCAGCACGTGGGCCCAGACACTGTGCAGCTCTGGCACCCTGCGGCGTGGGAGTGAGGGGGACTCACGCCAGGATGGCTGAGAGCGACAGCATCTCGGACGTGAGGTAGGACAGGTAAGAGATGATGAAGACGAAGCCCGGCTCGATGATGCGCACATGCTTGGTGAAGCGGGTCACCAGCGAGAGCAGGAAGGCGAAGATGACCCCCACCAGCGTGCCCCCCAGGCTCACCACGAAGAAGGACACTGTGGGCCAAGGACGTTGGCTGAACCGCCTGAAAGGCCCTTTGTGGCCGGGCGTGGCTGGCCCCTGTGTGGGCGCGGCTGACCGGCCTTCCTTCCAGACCATTCCTCATCGAGGGTTGCCTGGTAACCCCCACAGAGGCGCCAACAACTCAGCAAACAAGAGGCCAGTTCTCCCCCTGAGAGGCCGGCACGTGGAGCGCAGGGAGGCCCGGCTCCCCTCCCCCATTGTGGAGAAAGGCCAAGAAGGAGGCCTTGGGCAGGGTTGTCCCTGGACCCCCAGGACAGCAAGGCTGTCATTGTCCCTGCCCAGAGAAATGTTTACTCGGGACCACCCAGGACACCAGGATCCCCGTCCTCCAACTTGCCATGCTGGTGGGTCTCAAAGGGCAGCACCCTGCCTCCCCAGGGTGCCCGGACCCAACGAAGTTGCGTTCGTGAAACACACTGGGGATGGGAGGAAACTACCACCCAGACTTCAAAGTGGAAGTGCCTTCTCCTACACAGGCTGTGGGTTCCAGGGGCAGGCCTGGGGCCGAAGCCTGGAGGTGGTCCCCAGGCTGGAGAGGAGACGTGGCCCCCACACTCCCCAGGCGGGTGGACCCCCCAGCCACACACCTATGCCTTTCACGCAATCCACGCCAGTCACCTTGTCATCACCCAGCGTCACGAAAGATTCAAACACGTTGTAGAGGACCTGGGGGGGACAGAGAGGCAAGCATGACATCGGGTCATGCACTCACCCCCCTGACCCAGGCCCCGGGGACTCGGGGACTTGGGCTGGATGGAGCAGCCTGTAGAAGCCACCAGAAATCACTGGGAGGAAATCATCACGGGGCAATAATGCTCAATAAGACAAAGGCCCAAGATGAGCCAGCAGGTGGGCTAGGAGAGGCAGAAGAACATTCTAGAAGGAACTAGAACCTTCAGGAGCAAACCTGGCCCTTTCCTACTCTCGGCAAAGCACAAAGCTACCCACTGCATTTAACTCTGTTTTGTTTTCCAAGATGAAGCCAGAGTTTCATTTTTAGTGACTTCACTATTGCATTGACTCCTGCTTGTGGGAGCACACCCCTTGATGTCTTTGCATGTGAACCTTTAAACTGTATCCCACCAAGATATTTGGGATGAAAAGCTCGAGAACTATATGCTAGGCTCCGCTGTGGGGACCGTGTTGTGTTTCCGGGGCCTCCTAAGGACGAGCTGCTCCACCCCGCCGGGCCGAGGGGCTGCCATGGGCAGGATGCCGGCTCCTAGGGAGGCCACTTGTCTCTGGGCCATGGGCCCGCCTCTCCAGGTCTGCTTGAGGGGACACAGGACCCCAAAAGGCAGGGTGTGCTGCGGTCTCTACTGCAGGAGGTTCGCAGGCTTGATGACGTACTGGTGGTGGGCAGGGCCTGGGCCTCCAAGGGCTTGGGGGCTGGACCACAGCTCAGCTCTCTGCATGGAAACGCGGGTGGGAAGGCGGGATGGAGCCTCTGGCAGGAGTGTGCGTGGAGAGCCCCATGCAGAGCCCCGCGGCTCGGGCAGAAGTTCGCGCTCCCGCTCCCGCAGAGAGGCGAAGCCACCGCACAGGGCAGCCCAACCTCAAAGGAGCTGTGTGTTACATTTCTGATTAAATTCCAAATTAATTCTCAAATTCCCCCGAGAACATCTCTGCTGCAGAAGAAATCTGGGGCAGCACAACCTCAGGACTTCTCAGTCTCCTGAGCCCTGAAGGGACACGAGAAGGGGGCTTCTTAGAGAGACCACCAGTCCTTTCAGAGCTAAGGCGGATCTTCCTATCCCGTGGTGCGGGGCCGATGGGGCCAGACCCTCGGGCCCAGAGCAGGAGCTCAGAGACACAGCGCCCGGCCAACCTGCGCGGGGAAGTCACTCTGTGCGCGCCTCGGTGTCACCCGTAACTCACGCCCACAGAGGCAGTGGCCCGGTTTGGGGATGGGTTTCGAAAAATCCATGCCGGCCACTGTGATGCTGAGACAGTGTCCCCACATGTCATGAGCCTTCGGTTCACTTTGTGGAGTCACCGTGGCCTCACACCCTAACAGAGGGTCCTCCAGCCCCTGCCCGCCCACGGGGGCCCTGCCACACTCCCTTCTGGAAAGAAAGCTGCCTTCGGGGGCATACGGCCCGTGCTTGCTCATCTTCCTCCCTTATTTCTGGGGAGAGCTTGCTCTTTGTCTCTTCATCGGCTCTCTTAGGGGACCCACAAACAGGTGGCACCAAGTCTGGACCCAAAGCTAGAGGCGTCCTGTTCTGGGAAGCATGGCGGTGGGGCTGACAGATGGCTACCACGAAGGAGGGAGAACGGATGAAGAACTGACCAGACGGGCAGTCATTCTGAGTTAGGAGGTGGTGAGGGAAGGGGGGCCACGCGACAGGGGCATGGGGAAGCCTCCTGCAGTCGGAGCTGCGAGCAGAGGAAGAGCCCCCTCACACAGACTCGGCCTTCGTGTGCCCCGTCCTCTGCCCTCTGCACTGAGGGGCACTGCAGCCACAGAGTGACCGTGTTTCTCCCTCCCAGTGGCTCTGAGATGCCCTGTGCCAAGTCCCAGGCCCCGCCCCGCACCCGCTCACCACAGTGACAGCGTCGTTCAGCAGTGACTCCCCAAAGACGATGATGAACAGGACCTCGTTGACGTGTACCTCCTCGAACACGGCCAGGACGGCCACCGGGTCCACGGCAGCGATCAGGCTGCCGAACAGGAGGCAATCCAGCAGCTGAACTTTCAGGTCTCCTGCAAGACAGGCAGGGCTATCAAGGAGAGCCCTTCGGGGCCCAGGAAGAAGGAGGACCTGGGAGTCAGGCACACTTCCTCCCCTTGGCCTTCTGGGGGGCTGCCCCAGGCTGTTGTCCTGCTGACGGCTGGGTTGGAGGCCCCTCAGGATGGGGACTCTGATGCTCTTGGGTCTGGGGCTGGCCTGTTGTGGGAACCAGGGTCAGACTGCCTGCCTCCCTCCCATGGGCCCCCACAACCTTCAGGAACGGCTTGTCTCACCCTCCGGTGGGGACTGGCCGCCCTGCCCCTGGCTGCTTCCTCTGGCCAGCTGTACTGGTTAATACCCCCATACAGTGCTAAATAGGCCATGTGCCAGCAGATGAGGGGCCCCTGGTGCCCGGCCAGGCACAGCATGGAATCAGACCCCGGCCCTGGGCGGTCTACAGTCCAGGGATGCAGATGGTGTATTTGCTAGGGAGGTGGTCGGGGGCTCGACAGGCCTGGGGAAAGGCCTCCCTGGGAAGTGATATCTCAGCCCAGATCAGAGCCACCAGGACCAGCCTGAGGGGAGGTGATGGACGGGGCAGGGCGGGGACAGGCCTCACAGGGCCCGGGGAAACCCAGGGGCTCCAACAGGAGAAGCCGCTGGGGAGGTCTGAGGGACAAGAAGGGAGCTGGGGGCTCAGAGAGGAGGGAGGGGAGGAAGGGACCCTGGAGGTGCAGGTCCTCAGAGCTCAGCCTAGCCTGCATCTTGGAGTGACCCCTGCCCAGTGAGTTCCTGGTGCCCTCGTGGGTGGGGGTCAGGCTGAGATGCACTTTCCAACTTCTCTGTCCTTCCAGATCCATCTCAGTCTCCAGAGCCACTCCAGGTTGCATATGCAAACCCCCAGCAGTGATCTTCCCTGGACAAAAGCTCAGGGACCCCCGCATATGGTTGCCTGTCCCAGCTCTGTTCGGGACACACGCCTGCTCTCAGAGGGCTGGTGGGACGAGGACCTTGTCCAGGGGCTTTCTTGGCATGGAGCCTCCTCCCCAGGCTGAGTGGAACCGTGTGGGCTGGACGCCTGCCAGTTCAGAGCTGAGGGCCCCCTCCAGGCCCAGGACGGGGGGCTTCCGCAGGAGCCCGGCTCTCCCTCAGGGCCAGGCAGGGCCCTGGGAGAAGGTCGTGTCTGTGGGGAGGCAGGGCCCTGGAGGTGGTTTCTTGTGAGCTCTGAAAACCCCACAGCCTGAGCCACAGTCTGGGTGCTAAAGGGGTGACAGGTGTTAGAACCAGCTTCCAATGACTTTAAGATGTCTCTTTTGGAACGGGAATCATAGGGTTTGCTCTCCCACCTCCAGATGCTGTGGGTGAGGCGGAGGTGAGAAGGCAGTCTTCCTGGCTTCAGATGTCAGCGGCTCCCAGACCCACATACCCTTTGAGGTGTTCCATCTGTAAACGCCTCCTGGCTCAATGGCCTCTCGCTGTCCACAGACCCTGACAGACCCAGTGGCACCTCCTAGAAGCCAGCCAACCAGGCAGCAAGTGCCCTGTGTCCAGGCGCAGCCTGTTCTCCTCCCTGGTGGGACCATCTGCCACCCACCGGCCCTGCCAGCAAGATTCCTGGGACCGGACTGGACTGTGGGCTCCCTTTGACCAGCTGCGTGCTCCAGGACCCTCTCTCCACCACAGCCAAGAGGACCTGAGGTTACACCCATCTGAGGGGGCCTCTCTGACTGATGGCCTGGAGTCTCTGCTGGGCCCACCCCTAGCTGGCTTGTCCAGATGCCCACCCAGGATCCCCACAGCCAGGCCACAGGTGGCCTGGCCTAGGCTGACCTTTCCTCAGAGGGGTGCTCCCCTGCCTTGAGCTGCACCTCAGAGCCTGGCCACTGGTCTGCAGAAACTGATCCCCACCTCCCCAGCCCCATCAGGCTCCTGGCTCCGGGTGTCTGGGGACAGGACAGACTCATTGGCCCCTGGGTGCTGTTCTGCTCCGTGACCTTGGCTGATGTCCACCCTTAACCAGCTGCATCCTGAGGGCTGAGCACAGGCCCCCTCAGGGATCCTGGTCCAAACCCCAAGACTTTCCCCTGGGTCCAGTGGCCGGAGGTGGTCCTGTCATCTTAGCTATGTCCCAGCTATCTAAAGGCATCGCCAACAAATGCAATCAAATGCACCCGAGGCTTACTCGCGTGCGAGGCCTGACCAGGTGCATTTGGCCCCATGTCACCCTTGAGGGGTTTCTCTGGGTTGGGCCTGGGGGTGGTGCCAGATGGCAGCAGGGGTTCAAAGGAGCATGCATGCTCCCCATGGGCTGAGGACAAAGTCCTGAGATGACAAATGGGCCAGGCAAGGTGATGGTTCCCGTTAGGGGCCCTTTGGCCTCTCTTTCTCAGTTCATGTCCTCTGTCGCCAAGGCCCCAACGCCCTGATCCACGCGGGGAGCAATGCCCAGCCTCTTCCTATAGTCAGATGGAAACCGCTGACCAGGCCCATCCCTAGAGTCTGGTTCTTGCAGGTGGGGGTGTTTGGGGCCAAGGCTGAGCACACAGACAGGTGCCCGTGGTGCCGACTCTCACTTCTCCTTGGTCGCCCCCAAGGCCGTGAGCTAGCGCTGCAGACCCACACTGCAAATGCACAGCAACCGCAGAGTGGGCCGTGCAAGGCCTCAGGTGAGCGGCTTGCCCCGCCTGCTCCAGTTTCCCATGTAGATAATGGCCCACTCCCAGGTGGGTGGGGTGCACCTCGGCTCTGCGCCAGGGCTGAATTAAGTAACCCAAACTGCAGGGGAAGCGGCTGCAGACACACAGATGAGTGGTGGCCGAGCAGCGGCCGGCGAGGCTTCTCCTGCAGGACGTCCTGGTAGGATGACCCAGTCTTTGTGCTCAGGTGCGTGTCTGCCAGGGCTCCTCCATCTGGCCTCTGCCAGAGGGGGCCTTCCCCTCCCTTCCCCTGGGTGCTTGGTGGCGGGGAAGTGGGGCCCAGCCCCATCTTCTTGCTGAGGGGGAGGGACAGCGGCTCGGCTGTCCCACCCACCCCACCCACCTGCTAACCTGGTTGGACAGGGTTTCATTCCCAGGCAGGACTCGAGCCTCAGCCTGGGGATGCCCAGACAGCTGTTTATTAATTAAACCTTATTTTAAACAAACCAAGCTGGTTAAGTGGACCCACCAGCAAGGTTTGTCACCCTGAACACTCCTCCCCTTTCTGGGTCTGTATTCTGTATCCTGAGCTTTCTTAAGTAGTAAGGCTGCCCACATCCTGTTCCTGCAGAGCCCACCCCGAGAACATCCCCCAGGACCTCGTCCCCGGACTCCACCCCGAGGACTCCACACCAAGGACTCCACCCTGAGGACCCCTCCCACGCGGGCCCCACCCCGAGGACCCCGCCACGAGGATCCCCCGCCCCCAGGACACCCCAGCGGACGCCATGCCCGCTCACCCATCAGGCCGCTGAGGGAGACGCCGTAGAGGGACAGTCCAGTGGTGGCCGCGTTCCACACAGTGCCGATGACGGCGTACAGCAGGATGGTGCCCAGGTTTCCGAAGAAGAGCCGGTTGGGCATAAAGTAGCCGGCGTCCAGCACGATGGGGGGCAGCAGGTAGAAGAAGAAGACGGTGGGCGTCAGCGTGAAGGAGGCGATGTGGTCAGCTGCCCAGACGATGCCGCCCAGCACCAGGCCCAACACAATGAGCAGTGCGCTCTCGGGGACGACGCTGGTGACCTTGTGCGACAGATGGAAGCCTGTGGGGGAGACGGAGGGGGAGCTCAGGGGCCGGGACCCCTCCGAGCCAGGCCACCGCCCGGTGGGAGTGGGCTGGTCCAGGGCCACTACAGGCCCCTCCCACACAGGCAGGTTTCCTTCTGGAAGCACCGTGGCTGCTCAGGCAGACGGGGCGGGTAGTGTCTGCTGGTAGGCTCTGACCGGCCTCCTGGGCCTCCCTGCTCACCCCTGGGAGGGGGCCGAGCCCGCCACCTCCCTGGGGGTTGCCTGGCTCTGTGGACACACAGGCTGGAGGCCTGGGAGGGGCTGTTCTGGCTCATAGGACAGACATCTGGGTCTGTGGACGTTTCTCTCTGGCCCCACTCATGCAGCCCCCTCGGGACCTGGCCCCCAGGACACCCACCTCGGGGTCTCCTTGTCTCCCGCAGAGGGAATAGCCCCTCCTTTTCCGTGGGCAGCCCACGAGGCTGGTGAGGAGGTAGGAAGAGTGTCCTATGATGGAGTCAGGCTGGAGGGGGCAGCTCCAGGTCCCGAGGACAGGACGCCCGAGCTGGGTGGGCAGGGCCCAGGGCACCCACGGCCCCCAGGCCACACGTTGCCCCTTCCGGCCCTCTGAGCGGGATGCAGTGCCTCGTGCCTCCGAGCCACGTCTGGCCCAACCTCATCCAGCTTGTCTCAAGGTGCTGGAGCCCGGGCCCTGCTTGAAGCCTGGCTGCATTTAAATCTTCCTTGGAGGGACCGTCCCCCCTTCCTGGCTCTCTGGAGGTCACAGGCCCCCAGGAACAGAGCCTTCTGAGGCCAGGGTCTCCAGGGCTCCCCCACAGGCCCTAGCTCCACTGCGCCTATGTGAGCTGGCAGGGGTGGGGGCGGACAGAGGGGCCCCAGGGGTGAGCGAGGCAGCTTCGCAGACCTATTGGGGCCCGTTTCTCCTTCTATTCTAAGACTCAGGGAAAAAGTGAGAAGAATTCCTATGTTAAGCCTGACATCAAAACAGCTGGACTGTTGACAAGAGAGGCCTCAGCAATGTCTGGGAAAATTCCCCGTTTCATTCACTGAGGTTCTGTTTATTGAGAAGCCTTCTTAGAGATTCAAAGGAGAGCTGTCTTCTGAGGTGCCAAGGCCCCAGCTCCGTGCAGAGCGTGGGGCGTTATCCTGCGAGGCTGCCGGCGCTGACCCTGTCCCGTTTGGGGGGCTGGAGGGCCGGGGGGGCGGCCAGCACGCTGGGCCCAGGGGGTTCGGGTCCCACCCGCCCTTCCCGCCAGGCTGCCTGTCCTGAGCTCCGCTCTCCCCCCCGGCCTGCTTAATTATGGGGTCATCATGGGGGTCAGAGGCTGGCTCTGGAGGCGACTGCCCAAGGAGTGGCTCTTTCCCTCGTGCATGGTCCCCCAAGTCTGGTGGAGAAGCAGAGTGGCAGGTGCACACACGGGACCTTCTACGTGAGCCCCAGTGTCACCAACCCACTTGGTCACCGTGCTCTGGGAAGGAGCGGGTCTCAGCTTGTGGAGGCAGAACAGGTTAATGCTTCTGGGATCTGAGAATCTGCTGGGGGTCCCTGCCCCCCACATGCCCTGAAGGCTCTCCGGCTCTCCTGCACCCCCAGCCATGGTCCAACTCCCTGTATTCCCATCAAGTTCTGTCCTTCCTTCTGAAAATTTTCACACTGCTCAGATGAAGACAGCAGCCCTGCCCCCCCGAAGTTGGGGGGGGCCCGCAGAGCGAGGCCCCGGGAAGCTAGCGCCTTGACTGACACGGTCATGTGACTGACGATTGCCAAACCATGACAAACGGCACGAGGCGGTGGCCGCCCAGCATGACGGACAGCAGGTTCCCTGGAAACCCTCAGGGCCGCCCCAGCTGGTCAGCAGGAAAACAGCCAGAGGCTTTGCCTCACTGGGGTGTCCCGGCTCACGTCTGCCTGCAGGGTGCTCTCTCTGAGCCTGGGAGGGGCAGGCGAGTGCGGGTATCCCGCGCTGCGCACCCTGGGCCTGGCTCTGCTCACACCCAACTGGGCCCGAGAACCCGGCCCTCGGCGGCACGTGGCGCCCCAGATGCGGGCTCACGGGGCTGGCAGCCAGCAAGCCCGTGGCCCGCCAGCGCCCTGGGCCTGTGGTGCTGGGGTCCCCGACGCTTTGGGAAGAGAGCGGGCAGCACCTGAAGCCCCTGCCAGTCTGGGCCCTGCCACAGACACCGGGCTCCACGGGTCTGCATCCTAACAGCCCCCCGCGAGGTGCTGTCACTCTGACACTGTATGGGTCCCCTCCAACTGGAGACCCCTGCTCATCTGTTAATGTCCAGAGACAGCCGGCTGTATAATTCCCTCTGTCCCAGTGGGTTTGGTGCCCAGGAGCTGTGTCAGCGAAGCCCCTGGTCCCTGCCCAGAGCCAGCTGTCCTGTCCCCTTGGCTCCGGCCTGCATCTCTGTCCTTGGCAGGGTTGTTGGCAGGGGTACCTTTCTCTGGGGTGGACGCATGCCCTCTCCTGCCCCCAGGACTCCCCACGAACCCCAGGCCAGGGGCGCTCCCTCTCCTGCCCACCACGCTGCTGGCCAGGGTGCACGAGGGGTCAAGCCTGTGACAAGCTCCTGGATGCTCTTCTTGCCTTTTCAAGGTCGTGACATTGCCTCTTCAGGGACGGCCACCGAGCAGCAGGGACTGCTGTACACGGTGCCCACGGGGCTGTGGGCCCTCTGAGGATGGAATCCACGGTGTGTCCTCATGAGCTCTGAGCGTCACAGGTGGGGTCAGCCTTGGGGGCACACTAGAAAGCCCTAGAGCTGGCTTCAGGTCATGTTGCTGAGTAGTCTTTAGCCACAATCTCTCCCCAAATTAGAGATTCACACGGGATCCTGATTTAGTCAGTTTGCCATCGGTGCCAAGGACCAGGCTTTTCTTTAACAGGAGGACACTGTGTGGACACCACGGGCTAGTCCTCAGGCACGTCCCTGCGCAGCAGCCCGTTACCATAAAATCTTGTTAATTTGGGAAACGGGTGGATGAGGGACAAACTGACTTCAGACCTAATGCTCCTGCTCTAAAGTAAGCCCTGAAAATCCACAGAAGAGGTAACTTGAGCTCTTGACTCACTGAGAAAGAAACCTAAGTGCACATACACAGTGCGGAGGACAGGAGTGTCAGTCCCAATCTTTGCCATCCCGATGTTGGACGCACCTTGTGCAGGGACGCACCTTGTGCACCTTCTGGGGGGCTGGGAGGCATGTGCGTTTTAGCCCAGAGCTCATCCGGGATCTGTCACAGCTGCCCACGCTGGGGACACACCTGTCCGCATCCCGGGTGGCTGAGAAACTGTGTCTGTTGGTAGATTCAGTGTAACTCGGTCCTATTCTGAGTGAGGCGTGAGCATCTTCCCACATCTGGGAGACATTCCTTTCCTTCTCTGTGAACTGCTTGTTCACAGCATTCACTGCTCCTTCGCTGGGGGAGGCAAGGCGGGCCACACGCTGGGGCAGGTCCTCACACTGTCCAGGTACCGTTGCTCACCTTTCAGTTTTATGTTGTTTTGCTCTGTGCAGACATCTGTTTAGGTAAACTTACTGGCCTTTGTTTTATGGCCTCTGAGTTTTGTGCCTTAGAATAAGCCCTTTGTACTTCTATGTTTCCTATTACACTTTTAACATTCCACTTAACTTGGATTTAGCAAAGAAAATATTTAAACATAATTGTGAAACTGAAGGACTTGCCCATCCGCAGAGAGAAAGTCTGCTCCCAAATTCCCTTACTTCTCTGTGTTCACCCCTGCCCTTCCAGCTCTCTGCTTCCGCGTGGCTGGCTCGCGTCTCCCCGTGTCGCCGGTGTCAGGACCAGACAGCGGGGTCGTGTCCTGGGGCCGCACGCGCTGCTTTGGGCTCTGAGCGAGCACAGAGGAAGGAACGGAGCAGACTGCTTTTTCCTCCCCTCACCCTGATGGGCACTTGTTTGCTTGTTTTTTCTGTCTGGTTATGGGGAGAACTTTTCCTCCTTGAGAACACCTTGTAGCAAGGATAGATCTTCACGCTGAGTCTTCTTTCCCTAGTGCTGGGGATGTCCCTTCAGTCTGCAGGGCAGCTTCCTGCAGGCTCCTCACTGCCCGCACAGCGCCCAGCCGGCCACTTGCCCTGCCTTGGCTTTTTGTCTTGGGTGTGCATCCGCAGCGGACATCCTGCACGGTCCTCGACCCCGGGGCAGAAGGCGGCACGCACCTGCCCAGCAAGGGAAGCTGCCCTCCGGGTTCGGCTGCCCCTGGACCGTGCCGCTGATTCTCCAGACTCTCCGCCCCGGCCCCACCTCCCGTCCTGTCCGTGTCCCGCTGCGCCCTAGAAATATCTCAGTCAGGAAGGTCTGAGATCTAACACTGTGTGTTTCCCCCATGAAAACCCTCTTTAACAATTTCCCTGTCTCACGGTCTTCACTGGAGTGTCCAACTGAGTTTGCCTTTACCCTTTTCTGGGATGTAAAGCTCTGTGGGGACTTCCCTTCTGTTTCTTGGGTCCCATTTTATGCCAGGTGGGTCCCCCTTCTCCTTCCTACAACATTAGCATGGCTGCCCGGTATTTCTCTGTCCTGTGGTGCCCGACCTCACTTTCTCTGCATTCACGGATGCAGGGCAATTTTCCGAGTCAGGCTCTGCCTCACATGGGCCCACGTGTCTTCTCTTGAGCTACAGATTAGGGTGGGATGTTGCCGTCCTTGTCCTGTGGGCTGAGAGCTTGGCAGTGGGCAGTGGGGGGAGCCCTCCTGGGACCCTTGTTCCGGGCTCTCAGCTGGCCTCACCTGGAGCTGTTCCTTCCAGGCTTTGCACATCGCTGCCCCCCAGCCTCATCAGGAGGGAGGGTGACAGTCTCGAGTGGCTGGGGCCCCTGGTTGATGGGAATTCTTCAAGAGCAAGTCCGGCCAGCCAGAGACTGGTCAGGCCTGCGGGCGGCCCTCCCCATCACCAGTGACCCCTTCCAGATTGCAGCTGCATTGTAATGATCTAATTAAATGGAAGACTTGATTGATTCTAAGTGGCAATTTGCTGGCGGTTCAGCCATTAAGGGTATAATGGGCATTTTAGGAGCCCGTAAGCCGAGTTCCTGCTGGAGGTGCCCTGTGGCATCTGGTTTCTGTCGCTAGCCGGAAACCTGGATGGACACAGGGAGGACTGTGGCTCCCAGTTGGGGCGAGTCACTGCGGGCAGACCCTTCCTTCCCGCGGCGGCTGCACATCATCAAGTCATTATGAAAATCACCGACATGGGCGTGGAGGCCACGGATCTCCGTCCACAGCCTGAGACCCAGCCTCGGCTGCAACCCCGCTGGACAGCCTGGGCCTCTGGGAGGCGGGGAGGGCGGGAGGGCAGGCTCCCCACCACTGGCCCCATCACCAGAACACCCAGTACCTCGGTCCACGGCTGTGTGCTCAGGTGGGCTTGGCCACCAAGACTGCAGTGGTGGGTGGGAAGATCCCAATTCCCTCCCAACCCTAGTTTGCTTTACTCCAGAGACAGAAGGACCCAGCAAAGGCAAACCTGAGCAGTAACCCAGAGCACCTCCTCGGGACCCACACCTCTGGGGCCTCCACATCTGGCCTGTCCCCGAGCCTGAGCCGCAAACACAGAGAAAGGCCACGTGCCATCAGGGTGGCTGTGACCTTGGGAAGCAATTAGGTGGTGCAACCTTCCACATCAAAATTCCTCTGCATTTGCTGGGGAGAAGCCAAACCCTGCAGGCTGGAAGGACAGAGAATGTCTGAGCCTTTGAGGAGACGCTGGCTTTTCCTGTGTGCCTCGCCGAAGGAGAGGGTAGCCAGGGGCCCAGCACGCACACCAACCACGCTGTGTGGACGCCGGGCCCAGCTGGGGCAGAACAACGGGGACAAAGCTCTGCAGAAAGGCAGCGGCTCCCACACCCTTGAGGAGCAGCATCTGACCGGTGTCAGCTCCAGCTCAGCAAATATTTGAGGTGCCTAATGCAAGCAGAGCACGTGGTGCACACTCCCAGGATGGACAAGACAGAGTGACAAGGACAGCAGAGGACAAAGCCGAAGTGCTACAAGAAAGTGCGGACCACGGGGTGGGCGGGGGGGTGAGGTGGGGTCCTGGGCTCCCCTGCCTGCTGGCTGGTACCTTCCAACAAGGACACGTTAATGAAGCGACTTCCAAACCCACAGGTAACTGATTGCTGAGGCAGGAAGAGTTCCAGCTAATTAAGCACAGACACCTGGCTGAGGATGGTAACGACGAGGGAACACACACTTTTAGTTGTAATTACAAACCCTCGGACTGGTGTGAAAGGTCAGGAGGTGCCAGCCTGCCAGCCAGTCATTTCCGGAGTAGGTCCGGACGAACTGGGTGCCGGGGGCTTGGGAAGGTCATTGCTGATGGGTGTCACGCCCCCTCGGGACGCAGCTGGGCACGCGGGGTCAGGCCCTATGTGGCCACTGCCTCCAAGGATCTCTCAACAAAATTCAGCTGAGTCCACGCAAATGCAACAGCACAGTAAATCCTTTGGTTTTATTTTAACATGTACGGACCTTGGTGAATAAACGCTGCTTGATGGAGTAACCAGACCAAGCAGTGGACACCTTCCCAGAGAAACAATGGGAAACACTTGGGCACACACAGGGGACCCACTTCACTTAGTAGGACGAGCAGGTCAAGGTTGGACCTGAAATGTCCACACACTCAGGTCCACAGACATACGGACACACACGGACATACATGGACGCACACACAGAGACAGACACACGCACACACACGTGGGTCCCCAGCACTGACTAACTCTCCAGACAAGTGTGGGGTTCCTCCAGCATTTTCCCAGAATAGGGCTACCTCTGAGCCCCCTCCCCACCATCCATGAGGAGAGGAGCAGACCCCCTCATTCTGATCTCCACGCCACCTCACGAGGCACCAAGGTAAGAGTTATACTAAATGTATCCGCTGCCAAGCGCAGGGCAGGAGGTAAAGATATTTATAGTGTCCTCAAATATTACCTAGCTGATCCCACACCCCCTGCCTGCAAGGATGTTGCAGATGAGTGCTCAGAGTGATAGATGAGCCAGCCTGGCCTCTCCCCGGGGCAGGCCTCCTTCTGGGACCCTGAGCAGAGCTTCTGCTCACAAACCACAAAACACTTTAAACATTGCAGGCTTATAAAACCCAAGCAAACTTTGTCAACTTTTTAATTAAAAAAATGAAAAGTGTTAATAGCTTCCTAGGAAGCGTCAGATTCTTCAATTCTGAGCCATCGTGCACAACAGAAGTGAGGACAGAAGGAAGCCTGGGCCCCAGCCAGCTTCAAGCACTGGAGAGAGACCCAGAGCAGCATTTTGATTTAAAACAAAAGCCTCAGGGCGCCTGGGTGGCTCAGATGGTTAGGCGTCTGGCTTCGGCTCAGGTCATGATCCCAGAGTCCTGGGATTGAGCCCCGCGTCGGGCTCCCTGCTCAGCGGAAAGCCTGCTTCTCCCTCTCCCACTCCCCCTGCTTGTGTTCCCTCTCTCACTGTGTATCTCTCTGTCAAATAAATAAATAAAATCTTTAAAAAAATAAATAAATAAATAAAAATAAAATAATAAAACAAAAGCCTCATCCTGTGTTCAGAGGTGTCCACCCCAGAGGCTGTCCCTTGTAGGGCAGGCAAGGCAAGAACACCACACGGCAGGTGTTGATAATCTCACATATATTGTATACATTTGTAGTAATGAACAGTAAGTGTTGTCGAGTGGACCCAGGAATGAACATCCAGGCGGACAGCACATCAGAGCCGAGCAAGCACCAGCAGGCCACCCCACATCAGTGTCCTTCTCCCTGAGCACCCTCCCCTCCTTCTCAACCCTCCTGTGCCAGGCTGCTTCTAAAGTGCTCCGAGTACAAAGGATCACATGCTTTAAGCTTTGCTTTCTTGTGATTTCACGTTTGGCTCTAACTTAATAAAGATTTTAGAGCAGGATCTATGACAATTATAACTTTGGGGCCGGACACTGGGGCGGGGGGGTAGGCACATTGCACCAAGTATCCCGGGGGAACAACCACCTAAACACAGTAGAGAGACGGAAAGAGACACTGGAGGGCTCCAGACCTTGAAGGAAGGGGAAGCAACAGGCCAGTGCCCTGTTTTCTTTTTTGTTTGTGTTTGTTTTTCTGACTTCCCTGTTCTTTATGGCTTTTTCCTGAGGACAGGCCCCAGCCAGGGTTGTGCGGAGCAGTAAAACTCAGATAGAAACCTGTAGTCTTACTGGATCG